CATGGATCAAATAATATCAGAGAAATATGCAGTAAAAGAGCAAAATGACAATGATATGGTGCTCGTAAAGGATTTGAATCACATTTTCAACATGTTCCGCAACTTATTATATTTGCCAAAGACAATGAGGTTGAGAAAGTAAATAATATCTTCTCACATCTAGTCTTGGATTAAAATCAAAGTAATACCCACTGTACGAGTTACGATCTCGAGTTCAGTTTGGAGTAGTACGTACCAACGTTCGTAAATTTCAATGTAAGTGGATAGTTTAACTTGATAATACATTTTACAAATAAATAAGTATGGTTTACAAGCATGTCTAAGTATTTAACTTATAAAAATGTTAAGTCAAACTCATAGTCTGACTACAAAAATATATTAAAAATATTAAAATTTAAATAGCTTTTTAAAGTTGTCTTACAATTTCAATTTCTAATTTTCAAGCAAAAATCATAAAAATATTAGATTTTAAAGAAATACTATGTTTTGTAATAGATAGTACTGGTATTTCAACTGATAAGCCTAGTATCGATAAATTTTGACTAATTTGACCTGTGATTGAATTCCAACTATGCCATGCCGCTATTAGAATCATACGGTAACTGCTGGCAGGAATTGACGGGATGGTATTTACTACATTGCTTGGAATAATAACTTTTTAGAATTCAACTACAATGCTCAAATAAGTGTAGAGGTACATTTTCCCAAACAATTCATGTATAAAAATATGGTACTTTCTAGTATCAGTAGAAATTACTAACGAATTAAAGAATTAATACTTGCAATTCGCAGACCACAAACTCCTAATAATCAAAACCTACTCCAGAATCATTAGTCATATTCTGGAACCACTAAGAAATACTAAGATTGCATTTGGTTCAACTCTATTTAATTCTCATTCAATTCTTATACTTTATTATTTGATACGTAACCTAAAATTATAATTACATATTTGATGTATAATTGAATTAACTTTATTTATGTCATCAACCACCACGGATACATGTTCTCATCTATTAAAGAATGAACTGCAAAAACTTCTATCTTGAATTGGAGACGGAATGCTTTCAAATTTCTATCTTACTTGAATTGTATTCCCATTTCTATTTAATAAAATTAAAAAGTTAAACAAACTTAATCTGGTCATTAACAAAGTCATCTACTTTATCTACAAACTAAAAGAGCATGGTACTATAAATTTATTAAGTGCAACATGACATCACACTAATTTTTATACTGAAACATTTAGATAATCCCATGCGCAAAGCCATATATCGTTAACTTCGTGTTTCCAACATGGACAAACAACCACTGAACAATATAGACATACTTGAATGGATAGACATACTTTAATGGATATATAAGCAATATAATAGCTAAACCGATATTTGAAGGTAAAAAACAAAACAACGAACCAAGAAACTTACCAGTGGCCTGAGATCTACAAGAACTAGGTGATTGTCACTCCCACCAGAAACTAGCTTATACCCTAATTCAATCAACCTGTTTGCAAGGGCCCTACAATTGGATACCACCTACATGGCAGAGCAACCATATCTTTGCTCAGAAATACAGGACTTATTTTGATCACAAATAACCAATATCTTGGTTAACTCAAAACAGGAACTTTACCCTGTTCTGGTAAGCTTTGAACTCTGACGACTGTGCATGTTTGAGGCAAACTGCAAGGCCCCCAATTGTGTGGTTATGAGGACCACCCTGCATACAGAGTGTCATTGATGGAGGTCAACATAGCAGGGAATATAGGAGGAAAGAAAAGAAAACACCAACTAACAAGAGAACTTGAATCTTGAAATTCTTAATTGAATCCGAATCAATAGTAATAGACCATCTAAAACCAACTAGAAGTGCATTATAGATGGTACTATTTGGCAAAGAAAATTTCCAAATAGTAAAAGAAAACCCCTAGCAAGATACAAAATTAAACTGTAAACACTAAAATATACATATAGAACTATATCTTACATAAATTCCATAGAATTTAATTATTTTTTAACAACCTAAAATAAGTGGGGTATTATATAAAAATATTAATGTATGAAACTCTTGTTATGACATCCGACAGTAACAGAACATTCTGTTCTGGTCCTTTTCAGTTGTCCATCATGACTTTATATCATACACTAAAAAATAGCTTCATAACCGAAGAGGACAAACATGGAAGCTCATCATCACATTTGGAAATGAAATAACATGACTGCGCAACTGACCTGTAAACCTGGAAAAACAGCATTGTTAATAGCTTGTTCCAGATCAACTCCAAGAACCAGTTCCTTCTTGAAAAAGATCATGCCACCTCTTGGACCTCTCAAAGACTGAAGGGATTTTACATCAGATAGTGCATGTGCAAATTGAAAAAGGGAAGAATAAAAATTCTTTCTAGATTTAATGTTATTCAAGAGTTTAGGGTAAAAGATAAATTTTACAAATAAAGTAGATCCACTAACAAAGAGAACCAAAGCGCCACCTGCTCTATGCTACACCCAATTTAGAAGATATAAAATGAAGCTGGAATTCAGAGACAAGCAAGGCCAAAATTTTAAGTACCACATAAAAAATAACTCCTAATTTGCAGTTGCAAAACAGTTAAATACACACCTTGTGTGTGGTAGTTGTCACAATATCACAGTACTCAAAAGGGTCAGCAACCACGGAAGCAGCAACAAGTCCACTTATGTGAGCCATATCCATCATGAGAAAAGCACCGATAGCATCTGCTATCTTCAAGTTCATATAGATTTTAAGAAGTTAGATCTTAAAGAAAACCCAACACGCTGCAAAAGAATTTTTGGTAAAATCTATTAGAATAGAACCAGCAAGAATGCCTTACCTTCCTCATCCGAGGATAGTCAAAATCTCGAGGATATGCACTAGCACCAGAAATTATAAGTTTTGGTCGAAAGAGATTAGCTGTTTTCTCAAGCATATCATAGTCAACAAGGCCTGTTAAAATTTCAAATAAAACATTGAATGAACCAGTTCAATCACTGACCAGTACACCGCCCATGTTATGCTAAGAAAATAGGCCAAGTAATGCTGAACCTGTAGATTCATCGAGTCGATAAGGCATAGACTCAAAATAGATTGATGTGCCAGAAACCCTCCTCTTAGGAGTCATGAACCCATGAGACAGGTGCCCACCGTGAGGTAAGTCTAAGCCCTAAGTTAAAAGAACAGATCACTGATTCCTGTACCCCAGAACAGCAACTACTGATTACAACACCTCAAAAGAAATAACTCACCATAATTCTATCATGTGGATTAAGAATTGCTGTATAAACTTCAAAATTAGCTGGAGAGCCAGATAGTGGTTGAACATTAACCCCCCACTTCTTATCATCTAAGTGAAAAGCTTCCAAAGCCCTTTGCTGACAAAGGGTTTCAAGCTCATCAATGTACTCATTCCCACCATAGTATCTAAGATGTGGAAAAAAAAAAAAAAAAAAAAAAAATTTCTCAGATATTTATGATCGAGAATTCATAAAAAAATATAAAAAGCAGCCTCTTAATAGAAAAGGAAAAAGCTTACCTTTTACCGGGTAGTCCTTCAGAATACTTGTTTGTAAGGCATGAACCAACTGCCTCCATCACTGCTCGAGATGTAAAATTCTCCGACGCAATAAGCTCAAGGCTTTTAAATTGCCTATTCTTTTCTTTGTCGATA